AACATGTATATATACACCCGTACTGGAGCTAACAACATGTATATATACACCCGTACTGGAGCTAACAACATGTATATATCCACCCGTACTGGAGCTAACAACATGTATATATACACCTGTACTGGAGCTAACAACATTTATATAAACACTTGTACTGGAGCTAACAACACGTATATATATACCTGTACTGGAGCTAACAACATGTATATATACGCCTGTACTGGAGCTAACAACATGTATATAAACTCTTGTACTGGAGCTAACAACATGTATATATATCCCTGTACTGGAGCTAACAACATGTATATAAACTCTTGTACTGGAGCTAACAACATGTATATATATCCCTGTACTGGAGCTAACAACATGTATATAAACTCTTGTACTGGAGCTAACAACATGTATATATACACCCGTACTGGAGCTAACAACATGTATATATACACCCGTACTGGAGCTAACAACATGTATATATACACCCGTACTGGAGCTAACAACATGTATATATACACCCGTACTGGAGCTAACAACATGTATATATACACCCGTACTGGAGCTAACAACATGTATATATCCACCCGTACTGGAGCTAACAACATGTATATATCCACCCGTACTGGAGCTAACAACATGTATATATCCACCCGTACTGGAGCTAACAACATGTATATATCCACCCGTACTGGAGCTAACAACATGTATATATCCACCCGTACTGGAGCTAACAACATGTATATATACACCCGTACTGGAGCTAACAACATGTATATATACACCCGTACTGGAGCTAACAACATGTATATATACACCTATACTGGAGCTAACAACATGTATATAAACACCTGTACGGGAGCTAACAACATGTATATAAACACCTGTACTGGGGCTAACAACATGTATATAAACACCTGTACTGGGGCTAACAACATGTATATAAACACCTGTACTGGAGCGAACAACATGTATATAAACACCTGTACTGGAGCTAGCAACATGTATATAAACACCTGTACTGGAGCTAGCAACATGTATATAAACACCTGTACTGGAGCTAACAACATGCATATAAACACCTGTACTGGAGCTAACACCATGTATATATACACCTGTACTGGAGCTAACAACATGTATATGAACACACCTTTGTTGGAGTTGACTTTGTACTAGCAGTGAACATGATGGTATAGCTATAGATGTTTTGTGGAGGATGACTGTTATCGTAACAATGACGCTGAATCAGCGGATTCTATATAGCTGTGAATGATTGATAAAGACGAGTATTATTGACCAGCAGAACTTGTTTTCTGTATTTACTAGCAGTGGTCTCCATTTGTCTTTGATGATACATATTATAGTGCCAGGGTCAGATATTATAGTGCCAGGGTCAGATACATATTATAGCATGTCTGGGTCAGATACATATTATAGCTTGTCAGGGTCAGATACATATCAAGTGCCAGGGTCAGATACATATTATAGTGCCAGAGTCAAATACATATTAAAGCATGTCAGAGTCGGATACATATTATAGCATGTCAGGGTCAGATACATATTAAAGCATGTCAGGGTCAGATACATATTATAGTGCCAGGGTCAGATACATATTATAGTGCCAGGGTCTGATACATATTATAGTGTCAAGGTCAGATACATAGTATAGCATGTCAGGGTCAGATACATATCAAGTGCCAGGGTCAGATACATATTTATAGTGCCATGGTCAGATACATATTATAGTGCCAGGGTCAGATACATAGTATAGCATGTCAGGGTCAGATACATATTATAGTGCCAGAGTCAGATACATATTATAGTGCCAGAGTCAGATACATATTATAGCATGTCAGGGTCAGAAACATATAATAGTGCCAGGTTCAGATACATAGTATAGCATGCCAGGGTCAGATACATATTTATAGTGCCAGGGTCAGATACATATTATAGCATGCCAGAGTCAGATACATATTATAGTGCCAGAGTCAGATACATAGTATAGCATGCCAGGGTCAGATACATATTATAGTGCCAGGTTCAGATACATAATATAGCATGTCAGGGTCAGATACATATTATAGTGCCAGGTTCAGATACATGGTATAGCAAGTCAGGGTCAGATACATATTATAGTGCCAGGGTCAGATACATATTATAGTGCCAGGGTCAGATACATATTATAGTTCCAGAGTCAGTTACATAGTATAGCATGCCAGGGTCAGATACATATTATAGTGCCAGGGTCAGATACATATTATAGTGCCAGGGTCAGATAAATATTATAGTGCCAGGTTCAGATACATATAATAGCATGTCAGGGTCAGATACATATTATAGCATGTCAGGGTCAGATACATATTATAGTGCCAGAGTCAGATACATAGTATAGCATGTTGGGGTCAGATACATATTATAGCATGCCAGGATCAGATACATATTATAGTGCCAGGTTCAGATACATAATATAGCATGTCAGAGTCAGATACATATTATAGTACCAGGGTCAGATAAATCAGGTAGAGTCAACCCAGAGAAATAGCACTTGTTATAATATAATGGTAGAGTCCTGTTATAGATATCTAGGTTTAGTCTACGTGCTGTTATAATATAATGGTAGAGTTCTGTTATAGATATCTAGGTTCAGTCTACGTGCTGTTATAATATAATGGTAGAGTTCTGTTATAGATATCTAGGTTCAGTCTACGTGCTGTTATAATATAATGGTAGAGTTCTGTTATAGATATCTAGGTTTAGTCTGCATGCTGTTATAATATAATGGTAGAGTTCTGTTATAGATATCTAGGGTTAGTCTACGTGCTGTTATAATATAATGGTAGAGTTCTGTTATAGATATCTAGGTTTAGTCTACTTGCTGTTATAATATAATGGGAGAGTTCTGTTATAGATATCTAGGTTTAGTCTACATGCTGTTATAATATAATGGTAGAGTTCTGCTATAGATATCTAGGTTTAGTCTACATGCTGATATAATATAATGGTAGAGTCCTGTTATAGATATCTAGGTTTAGTCTACTTGCTGTTATAATATAATGGGAGAGTTCTGTTATAGATATCTAGGTTTAGTCTACTTGCTGTTATTATATAATGGTAGAGTCCTGTTATAGATATCTAGGTTTAGTCTACTTGCTGTTATAATATAATGGTAGAGTTCTGCTATAGATATCTAGGTTTAGTCTACATGCTGATATAATATAATGGTAGAGTCCTGTTATAGATATCTAGGTTTAGTCTACTTGCTGTTATAATATAATGGGAGAGTTCTGTTATAGATATCTAGGTTTAGTCTACTTGCTGTTATAATATAATGGGAGAGTTCTGTTATAGATATCTAGGTTTAGTCTACATGCTGATATAATATAATGGTAGAGTCCTGTTATAGATATCTAGGTTTAGTCTACGTGCTGTTATAATATAATGGTAGAGTTCTGCTATAGATATCTAGGTTTAGTCTACATGCTGTTATAATATAATGGTAGAGTCCTGTTATAGATACCTAGGTTTAGTCTACGTGCTGCTAGGAATATTGTCGTCTGGACATTCATCCCTAGTTCCTTCACAGGAAGATAATAACACAATCACATGCTGCTGTGCATTTCACCTAACATCATTAATTTATCTTTAATTGATTTCTTTTCTAGAGTTATGGCCCTTTTTGTGGTATTTCTATTTGTGGTATTTCTATAACTGACACTAATCCTATGCAGACATCTAAAAGTCCAATACATTTTATGTGGTTTCTTGGAAAATGGGTACAGCTTGTGTCACCTTCACACGCTTGTGTGCATGTAGTTCACCTACAAAACTTCATTGATTATTTAGGAGTTACCTCCCCATTGGACTTAGTCTATTTGATTGTCTTGATAATGTGTCATTACCTGTTTATCTGATTTCTTTGAACCTAATTGTTCATCATGATATTTACACAAGTATTCTTTTCAGTATTCATCTCCAGTGATTTGCCCACTTTTTATTGACACAAATTTGCCAATGCATTGTCAGGATAACTAAATGAATTTTTTCATACAACTTCCTCTTGGTTAAGTATTTAGTATTCCAATTTTTTTATTCTGTCCTTCGTTTCTTCTCAGTTATTTGTCTAAGATATATAAATACCAAATCTTGTGTGCAGATATTAGAGGGGAAGGTGGAGTGTGGTGTTCCAAAAGTAGGTCATTGTGGCCTATAAACTGACCTCTACCATCAGTCAGTGAAACAGTTTGTCTAGGACATACCTTCAATACTATTACACCTGGAAGTACTCAATTTGATAGGCAGGTACATCAAATAGGTCACTGTGATCTATATTTTGACCTCTGACCACAATCATACAAATATATAGTTTTGGGAGCATGTCTATATAAATACTGTTTCACCTGAAGTAAATCAAATTCAGTATACAGGTGCATCTCAGGATGGTGGGTAGTCACATACTAAATGTAAGCCACTGTGACCTATACTTTGACCTCTGGCCCAAATTGATTGATTACTTGATTGGTTTTACGTCCGCTTCACTACCGAGTAGTTCGGTTATCAAGCAGATGAAGAAAAGACAGGAAAAATGAGTAGAAGGGATAAAGTATGGAGTGAAGGGATAGAAAAAGTTTATTGAGAACATATAAGGTCATAATGACAAATGATCTGAGTCATGGAAAAGTAGTTTACAGCAGCACAATTAGGACATTATAAAGATACTTTTGATATATCTGTCGGCATACTTTCTTAACAAGTTATTGATCTTATATTATGCATAAGATGTCTTTCAATTTTCCCATGTGAAGGCAACTCAATAACAAGTGTATGAAGTTTTTTGCCACCAGAGGGCACCACATTATTATGTTTAGAAAGTTTCTCTCCACCAGAGGGCACTGAGTTAGTATGGTTAGAAAGTTACTCTCCACCAGAGAGCACCACATTATTATTTTTAGTCAGCTTCTATCTACCACAGATCAGCACTAACACATATTGTTTGTTTGTTTCTCCAACAGAGGTCGCCAGTAAATGTTAATGACTTCTTGAATGTAATGATGTCGGACCCCGGACCACAGTGCCTCATGTGGTTACCCATACTCAACAGGATGGCTCAGGTGGAGAACGGTGAGGAAACTAGTGTAATACCATTCACTAGCAAGGAACCATGTATTTCCTATTGAGTTATATATTTATAAAATTCTCTGTTAGAAAATGTAAATTTATCCAAAGTTTGATAATGTAGAACAGAATGTGTTAGTTAATATTTATTTAGTAAATGAGAGGCCCTTACATGGTTAGAGCCAGCTACAACTTACCACCTGTGTATATGGTTGTATGCTACTCCAGGGGAGTTAACTCTCACTGTCATTGTTACAGTTTTCCATCCTGTGCAGTGTGAGGGCTGTCATCGAGAGTCCTTTATGGGGTTCCGTTACAAGTGTCAGCGTTGCTATAACTACCAGTTGTGCCAAGACTGTTTCTGGAGGGGCCGAACCTCTGGGAACCACAGCAATGACCACGATATGAAAGAGTACACATCCTATGTAAGTTGGCTAAGCAAGGAAAACAAGCATAGTGAACAATCAGTCTTTGTAAACAGGTTCTTTTCATCCAGTAGTTCGGAACAAAAAGGTGTCTATATGATTCATTCAGCAGTTTGACAATTGTAGATATCATACTAAGTTAGGTATATCGTATAGAAAATACATTGTTTTGTTTATCATACATGTATCTCCCCTTTGACGAGCCAGATCTATGAAATGCTGCCGCAGCACCCTGTAAAACTAACTTAGTCGTAGTATTTTGTCCTTCCAGAAGTCGGCAGCAAAGCAGATAGGCCACAATCTGAAGAAATCTATAAAATGTGTGCCCACCAAGGCAAACCAGAAGATCCCCCACTTCCCCGACACGCCGGAGAAAACAATGGATCTTTCCTACATAGTGTAAGTCTGTCTCACTGTGTTTTGGAAATTTACATATTTATAAGTAGTTTTCAACCAATTTACGTATAGCAAATTTTGTCAATTTTAATACAGCAATAGATTTTGAATTTATTTTCCAACCTACCCATTTAAATCTCCTCCCTGCTGATACACAGAATAATACAGTAGATACAAGGCTGTGTCAGATCCCGACTAGCTTACAAACTTAATGTTGTTCTGGCTTCATTTTCTGCTTTTAAAATTCAACCAAAACTCATGCTCTTCTGCTAGCAAACTCGTTATAAACCAGTTGTTTCATATGCGATTTATTTAAGTTTAAACATTTAACAAAAAAAAGTGTTTTTGTGATTGTATTATAATTTCATGTACATTTGTATCTGTATGTATATATAAAGTTTGTTTATTTCTGTAAAATATAATCTCCGTTCATTGGTTTTCAGTTCTCGTTCTCTTTGTTTATATTGGTAGAATTGACAGTACATTAGAAGTACACATGATCTTAAACAAGACAATATTACATTTTAAACAGACTTGAAATATGGTGTGCCATTGTAACCTTGCCAGTTCAAACGGGATAACTCTGAATGATATCTAGTAATTTGTTCATTTTATTCTTAGTTGATATTACTTCACCGTCACAATCATATAATGCACACCCATTATATCATGCCTTACTGTACTATACACACAATTATATCATGCCTTACTGTACTATACACCCATTACATCATGCCTTACTGTACTATACACACCATTATATAAACTCCATATCTATTCTATACTGACATAAACTATACCATGTATGTCGTATAAACACCAAATATATCATGTTTATGTTTTTATCTTATCATTGATTTTTGTCCATGTAACCGAAATCTTGGTTTGATTTTGAGTTTCCCTATTTTTACAGAAAGCTCCCTTTTGAGGATGTTATGCGCCTCCTGAAGTATGTTAGGTTCTGCCTGGCTTGCTCTCCTCTGCCTGTATATGTTGTGTGTGCTTGTGTATGTAGTAACCTGTAGGTCTCTGGACGCGGGCGTGTCACTATAGCCAGCAGTAGTAACATTCATGGTGTGTTAGAGGGGTGCAATATTGCTGTTATACCCAGTATGATATTTCCAATATTATAAACCTCTGTATGTAACATATATATGAAATATGAAAGCAAACTAATGTTTAGTTGTGATCTATGTAGGATACCTGTGTTTAGTTGTGATCTATGTAGGAGACCGGTGTTTAGTTGTGATCTATGTAGGATACCAGTGTTAAGTTGGGATCTATGTAGGATACCAGTGTTTAGTTGTGATCTATGTAGAATACATGTGTTTAGCTGTGATCTTTGTAGGATACCAGTGTTTAGTTGTGATCTATGTAGGATACCAGTGTTAAGTTGGGATCTATGTAGGATACCAGTGTTTAGCTGTGATCTATGTAGGATACATGTGTTTAGTTGTGATCTAAGTAGGATACCAGCATATATTTATGATCTAAGTAGGATACCTGTGTTTAGTTATGATCTATTTAGGATACAGGTGTTTAGTTGTGATCTATGTAGGATACTTGTGTTTAGTTATGATCTATGTAGGATACATGTGTTTTGTTGTGATCTAAGTAGGATACCAGTGTTTAGTTGTGATCTATGTAGGATACATGTGTTTAGTTGTGATCTATGTAGGTGCCAGTGTTTAGTTGTGATCTATGTAGGATACATGTGTTCAGTTGTGATCTATGTAGGATACATGTGTTTAGTTTAGTTGTGATCTATGTAGAATACATGTGTTTAGCTGTGATCTTTGTAGGATACCAGTGTTTAGTTGGGATCTATGTAGGATACCAGTGTTTAGTTGTGATTTATGTAGAATACATGTGTTTAGTTGTGATCTATGTAGTATACCAGTGTTTAGTTGTGATCTATGTAGGAAACATGTGTTTAGCTGTGATCTATGTAGAATACCAGTGTTTAGCTGTGATATATGTAGGATACCAGTGTTTAGTTATGGTCTATGTAAGATACCGGTGTTTAGCTATGATCTATGTAGGATACATGTGTTTAGTTGTTATCTATGTAGGATACATGTGTTTAGTTGTGATCTATGTAGGATACTACCAGTGTTTAGTTGTGATCTACGTAGGATACCAGTGTTTAGTTGGGATCTATGTAGGATACCAGTGTTTAGTTGGGCTCTATGTAGGATACCAGTGTTTAGTTGTGATTTATGTAGAATACATGTGTTTAGTTGTGATCTATGTAGTATACCAGTGTTTAGTTGTGATCTATGTAGGAAACATGTGTTTAGCTGTGATCTATGTAGAATACCAGTGTTTAGTTGTGATCTATGTAGTATAACAGTGTTTAGTTATGGTCTATGTAATATACCGGTGTTTAGCTATGTTTAGTTGTGATCTATGTAGGATACATGTGTTAAATACCTGTGTTTAGTTGTGATCTATGTAGGATACATGTGTTCAGTTGTGATCTATGTAGGATACATGTGTTTAGTTTAGTTGTGATCTATGTAGAATACATGTGTTTAGCTGTGATCTTTGTAGGATACCAGTGTTTAGTTGGGATCTATGTAGGATACCAGTGTTTAGTTGTGATTTATGTAGAATACATGTGTTTAGTTGTGATCTATGTAGTATACCAGTGTTTAGTTGTGATCTATGTAGGAAACATGTGTTTAGCTGTGATCTATGTAGAATACCAGTGTTTAGCTGTGATATATGTGGGATACATGTGTTTAGCTGTGATCTATGTAGAATACCAGTGTTTAGCTGTGATATATGTAGCATACATGTGTTTAGCTGTGATCTATGTAGAATACCAGTGTTTAGTTGTGATCTATGTAGTATAACAGTGTTTAGTTATGGTCTATGTAATATACCGGTGTTTAGCTATGTTTAGTTGTGATCTATGTAGGATACATGTGTTCAGTTGTGATCTATGTAGGATACATGTGTTTAGTTATGATCTATGTAGTATACCAGTGTTTAGTTATGGTCTATGAGGTGCCAGTGTTTAGTTGTGATCTATGTAGGATACATGTGTTAAATACCTGTGTTTAGTTGTGATCTATGTAGGAGACCGGTGTTTAGTTGTGATCTATGTAGGATACCAGTGTTTAGTTATGATCTATGTGGGATACCAGTGTTTAGTTGTGATCTATGTAGAATACATGTGTTTAGTTGTGATCTATGTAGTATACCAGTGTTTAGTTGTGATCTATGTAGGAAACATGTGTTTAGCTGTGATCTATGTAGAATACCAGTGTTTAGCTGTGATATATGTGGGATACATGTGTTTAGCTGTGATCTATGTAGAATACCAGTGTTTAGTTGTGATCTATGTAGTATACGATCTAAGTAGGATACCAGTGTTTAGTTGTGATCTATGTAGGAAACATGTGTTTAGCTGTGATCTATGTAGAATACCAGTGTTTAGCTGTGATATATGGAGGATACATGTGTTTAGCTGTGATCTATGTAGAATACCAGTGTTTAGTTGTGATCTATGTAGTATACCAGTGTTTAGTTATGGTCTATGTAATATACCGGTGTTTAGCTATGATCTATGTAGGATACCAGTGTTTAGTTATGATCTATGTAGAATACCAGTGTTTAGTTATGATCTATGTAGGATACCAGTGTTTAGCTATGATCTAGGAAGGATACCTGTGTTTAGCTATGATCTAGGAAGGATACCAGTGTTTAGTTATGATCTTTGTAGGATACCAGTGTTTAGTTATGATCTATGTAGGATACCTGTGTTTAGTTGTGATCTATGTAGGATACCAGTGTTTAGTTATGATCTATGTAGGATACCTGTGTTTAGTTGTGATCTATGTAGGATACCTGTGTTTAGTTGTGATCTATGTAGGATACATGTGTTTAGCTGTGATCTATGTAGGATCTATGTAGGATACCAGTGTTTAGTTGTGATCTATGTAGGATACCAGTGTTAAGTTGTGATCTATGTAGGAGACTGGTGTTTAGTTGTGATCTATGTAGGATACATGTGTTTAGCTGTGATCTATGTAGGATACATGTGTTTAGTTATGATCTATGTAGGATACCAGTGTTTAGTTATGATCTATGTAGGATACCTGTGTTTAGTTGTGATCTATGTAGGATACATGTGTTTAGCTGTGATCTATGTAGGATACATGTGTTTAGTTGTGATCTATGTAGGTGCCAGTGTTTAGTTGTGATCTATGTAGGATACAAGTGTTAAGTTGTGATCTATGTAGGAGACTGGTGTTTAGTTGTGATCTATGTAGGATACATGTGTTTCGTTGTGATCAATGTAGGATACATGTGTTTAGTTGTGATCTATGTAGGTGCCAGTGTTTAGTTGTGATCTATGTAGGATACCAGTGTTAAGTTGTGATCTATGTAGGAGACCGGTGTTTAGTTGTGATCTATGTAGGATACATGTGTTTCGTTGTGATCAATGTAGGATACATGTGTTTAGTTGTGATCTATGTAGGATACATGTGTTTAGCTGTGATCTATGTAGAATACCAGTGTTTAGCTGTGATATATGTAGTATACCGGTGTTTAGTTATGGTCTATGTAAGATACCGGTGTTTAGCTATGATCTATGTAGGATACATGTTTTTAGTTGTGATCTATGTAGGATACATGTGTTTAGCTGTGATCTATGTAGAATACCAGTGTTTAGCTGTGATATATGTAGTATACCGGTGTTTAGTTATGGTCTATGTAAGATACCGGTGTTTAGCTATGATCTATGTAGGATACATGTTTTTAGTTGTGATCTATGTAGGATACATGTGTTTCGTTGTGATCAATGTAGGATACATGTGTTTAGTTGTGATCTATGTAGGTGCCAGTGTTTAGTTGTGATCTATGTAGGATACCAGTGTTAAGTTGTGATCTATGTAGGAGACTGGTGTTTAGTTGTGATCTATGTAGGATACATGTGTTTAGGTATGATCTATGTAGGATACCAGCATTTAGTTATGATCTATGTAGGATACCAGTGTATAGCTATGATCTAGGAAGGATACCTGTGTTTAGCTATGATCTAGGAAGGATACCTGTGTTTAGGTATGATCAATCTGATGTTGAGGACCATCATTTAGTTGTTGTAGATTACTCGTTTTTTTACAGGTTGTGTTGTAGAGCTAATGATTGTATCAACAATATCTGGATGTTAGCTAAAATCCACAGTTTAGTTTGAGATAATCGAACCATCCACTTAGATTGTACGCATGTTTATAGGATACATACTGAATGTTTATGTTAAAATATCATATTTATATGCAAAAAAATACTTTTAACAATTAATATTGTGACTGACCCTTTTTTTGCTGTTTATTTATTGTATCAATCTAAGTTATTTAAATCTATACACATATACAACCATTATTGTACCACTACCGGTATATATTATACATTAACCCCTAACAATGGGCCAGATCTTAATCGGGTTGTAACACTGATATGTCCATATCACTTTTTATGTCTGCAATGTTAAAGTAATAAAAAAATTCATGGTTTCGTCCCTGGGGATGGTATTGCTCATGTTGTGGATGACGTTCACCCCGTTCTGGAGTAATTTTTCTGGGCGTTAACACATCGTTGCTGATAACTGTTCCGCCCAATGATATCTTGCCTTGAGGGATCGTGGGACTTACCAAACCATCTGTATTGAGTTCTACTTAACATTCAATCAGACTTACCAACACAGAGCACAGACAAGTCCGTAGATTAATTATGGAGAACCCTGCAGCGATCTATTTTCAATCTATGATGTGAAGTTTTGACCGTGCACTGGTAGTAGGGGACGTGGGATAGGTATCTATATATGTGTAGACTGTGGCCTAGGTCAGATTGGGAAGTCCCTCGGGTAACAGAAAATCATTTGTTCTAATGCATTACTACAGTAACTAGTGACTATTTACCGTCTGTAAATCAAATCTC